AGGGACTGTTTCAGGTTATCCATCAGGGAAAGGACCCTCAGTCCTTGGGAAACAAGGATCTCTAACTGTGTTCTAAAAGTCTTTTTTTATCCTGGAATATACTCCAGACACCATCCCTGAAGGATTGCTCTCTCCGTCCTCCATGTCACAGAACAGACACCTTCCACTATCCCAGCTTGCTCCAAGCCCTGTCCAGCCTGGCCCTGGACACTTCCAGGGATCCAGGAGCAGCCACAGCTTCTCAGGGCCTCAGAACCCTCATATGGAAGACATTCTTCCCAATATCCCACCTAACCTTCTGTCAGAGAAGCCATTCCCCCTGTGTCCTGGCACTCCATGCAAGAGCCCCCCTGGACCTAGGGACAAGCAGTCCAGCACAAAGTGTTTTCCCTCATGGCACCTCCCTGTGGCTCCATCTACAGGCAAATTCCACACTGAACTCCCTGTATCCAGGAGTTCCTGCAGGGAGTGACCAGACACACTGAGCACATCCCAGCTCACCTCCATGAGACACAACAGCTGGATCTTCTGCAGCAGGAGCGCTTCATTCGCAGCCAGGTCAGGCTGTGAGGGGAGAAAAGGCACCAAATCCGGTCAGGATTATATTTTCTCCCCATCCTGTGGCAGAACAGCTTCACATAAAGGAATAAATCCCTGGGAGGGTTCATTTAGAAGGAAGGAAGGCACCACAGCCCACCCACCAGCTAGGAATGGTTCCAGAAAACAATCCAAGTGCCAGTGAACTCACAAATCCACTGCTATGCCAGTGACTCCTGGTGTAGCCAGTGCAAGTAACATCCAACATCACTGTTTTCCCTCACGCTTCCCAGGACAGGAGGGAAAACCACCATTTTCTACTGGAAGCAGTGGCTTCCAGAGGGAAGCCAAAATAAAACTAATGATGTGTATCAAGATGGAATAACCACTCCCAGGTTCCGATCAGAATTATATCAGTGCTCCAGAGCCACGAATGAGGCAAAGGGGATTAAGAAAAAGTCCACAGACTCCAAGTGTCAGGAGGAAATCCCAAGCCTGGGCCTTCAGCAGAGTCCCAGAGCCCTCACCTGCTGCCCCCAGGCTGACTTGAGGGCCTGGAAGGTCTCCACGTTGCCGCTGTTGAAGGCGAAGAGGGTGTCAATGAGCCACTGCCGGTCTGTGCTGCGCAGGGACTCCAGCACGGGGTGCATCAGCTGCAGGGGACAGGCAGGAGGGTGTCAGCAGGGCAAAACCAGCTCCTGGAGCTCCAGGGATGAAGGCAGCACTCACCAGTTCACCAAAGTTGTAGACGCCTTCTCCCAGCAGCCCGGCCAGCCCCAGGGTGAAGGCTCTCTCCTGCTGCTCTGATACTGGAAAAAAAAAAACAAAACCAAAATTATTTGGATGAAAAAAGACCCAAACCAAAACCACTACGGATAAAAAACACCCTAACCAAAAGTAATTGGGATGAAAAAAATAACCAAGCCAAAAATAATTTAGATAAAGCACCACTTTAAGCTCCATCTAGCCCTCCTCCACCTACATTAAACTATTCCCAGCCCTCATCTTCCCAACACTGCCTGAAATTCAGGAGCCTGCAGTAACCACAGCACAAAAAGGCTGCTTCTTGAATCTAGAGTGAAGATTTTGGGGAATCGGAACAAACTCGTCCTTCTGGCAGGGGCATTCTCCCTTTTCCCCTCAGTGCAACTCAGGAGCAGGTCCTGGGGGGGTCACTCCTCAGCCCAGCCAGACCTCGGATCCACCACGGCACAGCCAAAATGACTGTGGCGGTTTTCCCATGGAGGGAAAACCTCAGGCAGGGCTCTTACTTGGGTTGGGGGGATGAAGCTGAGCATGGCAAGTGGGATTTCCCCTGGAGAGGAGGTACCTGGCAGGTCCTTGACCTCGATGCAGCCCAGGAAGCGCAGGGCATCCTTGTAGTAGGCAGCGTGGTTCCCCACGGTCTGGTAGTACTTGCTGGAGAGGTCATAGAAGCGGCTGTGCACTGATGTCACCCCAGGGAGGCTGTTCAGCATCTCCTCCACCTCCTCAATGGTCTCCTGGGAAGGACAAGACCCGGCTCTTACAGCTCTCAGTTCTGAGAATGGCAGCCTTCCCAAGGGATCCCCACTGACATCCCGGGCAAAGCCACCATCACTCCCCCACCTTTCCCTGGGAGAGTGGTGAGGCCCTGGCACAGGTTGGTCAGAGAAGCTGTGGCTGCCCCTGGATCCCTGGAAGTGTCCAAGGCTAGGCTGGAGCAACCTGATCTAGTGGAAGGTGTCCCTGCCCATGACTGGGTGATCTTCAAGATTCCTTCCAACTCAAACCATTCCAGGACTCCATCACCCAAACCCATCCCTCTGCACTTGCTCTAAGACAACCAAAGCTGCCATGCCTGAAAAGCATAATTTCAGGTTTAAAAGATGGTTTTAAAACCAGCCAGGGATGACAAACCCCATGTGCTTTGCTCAGGCAACAACACCACAGGTCACCATGAGCAGCTCCTACATCCAGGTGAGCTCACACGCCCCTCAGGCTGCGAGCTGGGATAACCAAGGAATGTCACAGCACCCCAAAACTCCCCAGCCCAAGCCACTCCTCACCTTAGTGACCTGCAGGTCCCCGATGTTGAGCTTGAGAGCCCCGATGGCTGTTTTGCACAGGATCACGGCCTCGTCACTGCTCTTCACCTGCAGGGACACAGGGATCTGTTCAGAGTGTCACCTGCAGCCACGTGTGCTCCAGGGGCTGGATAAATGTCACTTGTGACCATATTCCTGTTTTCAAATCCCCATGGAAAGCTGCTCTTCTCCAGCACAAGTGACACACATGGCAGTGACTCTTGGCCTGCTCAGAGGCAAAATACACCGAGAGCAACTTCCAACATACCTTTTCCCGGGTCTTCTCCAGAAAAGTCAGGGCCACATTGGGATCTGGAGAAGAGGGAAAAATAGATTTAAATGAGCAGCTCTCATGGAGCTAAACCTTGCCTACCAAGGCATCTTTGAAAGGATTCCTGAAGGCTGGAATATGGGTTTTCCATGGTGTACTCTCAACCTGCAGCAGGTGCTGCCAGGTAAGCCAGCCTCTTCCTCACCAACCACCTCTCCAGAGAAGCTGTGGACTTCAACAATAACTTAAACTTTTTGAGCCAGCACTTTTGCTTCCCAACACAGCAGAAGCACAAGAACTTTCTATCCAAGACTGACTCATGCCTGGCCATATTCCAGAGGTAACAACAGGACAGGGAAAAGAGGAGAACACACACCTGTCATCTGCCGGACCACGTGCAGGATAATCTCCACCAGGGACAGGGGGTTCACCCTGCAGGGAGCAGCTCAGAGTCAGCACAGGTCCCCCAAGCCCCCCAGGTGACCCCCAATCCTGCCCCAGGTGACCCCCAGTAACTCACCTGTGCTCAAACTCGCTGATGAAGTTCTCGTAGAGCTGCGGGGACAAGGACAGGGACACTCAGGGCAAAGGGCAAACCCCTGTCCAGAGCTTCTCACCGTATTTCCTCTCTATTCCAGCTCATTTGAACATCCCTGGAAGCGCTGGACAGGGCTCTGACCCAACTGGGCTAGCAGTGGAAGGTGTCCCTTCCAGGGAGGGTGGAACATGATGGTCCTCAAGGTCTCTTCCAACCCAGACCATTCCAGGATCTTATGATTTTTCCAAAAACCTGGGCATCCCATACAGGAGTTCCAGCACTGTTCAGAACCTAGAACTGCTCATCTTATCTAATTCTATCCCCACAGGCTTCTTCCAGCGAACACCCATCCTGCACTTGCAAATCTCTTGCTAAAATACAGAATGCAAAGATAAAATCCCTCCGCAACTCCCAAAAATAAAAATTTTAGGTGAGTGAAGTAAAGAATCACTTTGAAGCTTCTGAACCCAAGACATTTGCCTTTAGCACAATTTCCACACAGTCACCAGTGCAAACACTCCAGGAGCTGAACCCACCCTGGTTAGTAGTTCTCCAAGAAAATTAGCAAAGAGAGAAGCCCCAGGCTGAGTTTTTCCTGGCACAAAAATCCAGGAAAGCTGGGAAGAATCCGCTCACCTTGATGAGCCCATCTCCCTGGGCAAAGCAGGGGTCCTGCACGAAGTCCAGCACCTGCAGAGTGAGCTGGTGCCACAGCCTGGGGACACAGAACATCCCCGTGAGCCCAACGCCGCCAAACCGTGCCACATCCCGGGACGTGCCGAGCGCACCGTGAGGGGACTTGACGGGGGTGGGACCCCCTGACAGGGACAACCACCGCCAGAATCACCTCCCGGGCGACAAACGAGGCGGCTAAAGGGACGCGGGTCCAGCCGGGCCCCGTGAGGGCTCCTCAGCCGGGCGGGCCCGGCCGCACTCGGCTCCGGGACCCTGGGCAGGCGATCCCCCCGCACCCCGTCCCCGCTCACTTCTTGTTGTAGAGCTCCTCGAGGCGGTGCCACACGGCGGCCTGGCCCGGCCCCGCGCTCTGGCTCTGCTGCAGGAAGCCCGGCACGTCCTTCATGGTGGCGGCGGAGCCCGGACGGAGCCGGGGCCGGGACCGGGACGGGGCCGGACGGGACCGGAGCGAGGAGGCCGCGCCGTCCCCGCGGTGCGCACTCACTTCCGGCCGCGCGGGGCACGCCGGGTACCGTAACGCCCCGAGCCCGCCGCCGCCGCGCACTCCCTTCGCGCCGGTCCCGCCGCGCCCCCGCGGTCACCACGGCAACGCCGCCGCGCCGCCAACCCCCGCGCCTTCCCCCGCCGCCTTTCCCAGCGGCCGCACCGCCGGACCGGCCCCGGGAGGGGTGAGCGGCGGCGGGTGGCGGGAGCGTGGGCGCGCGCGCTCGCGGCAGTGCGGTAGCGACGATGGAGCGCGGGGCGCGGGCGCTGCTGGCGGCCGGTGAGCGCCGGGGCCGGGGGGAGCCCCGGGAGCCACGGGCCGCCCCCAGCACCGCTCTGCTCTCTTGCAGCCTGGAGGAGACTGTGGGAGCGAGGGCCCTGCCATGGCGCCCGGTGCGGCGGGGACGGGAAGGGGCTGGCCGGCGGCGGAGCCGGGAGGTAGGTAGGGAATGCCCGGCTGGGGGCTGGAGGATCCCTGAGGGAAGAGGAGGGTGGGAATCGGTGTTGGGATGGGATGTGCTCCCGTGATGGAGGATGTCCCGTCCCCGTCTAAGCAGGGACATCGCTCTGTGAGGCAGGGCTGGCCTGGGAGCCTGGAGAGCAGGGATCTGCCAGGGAAATCTCAGTGTTTTTCCAAGGCTGTGAGTTCAGCTCCCCGTGAACTCGGTCTGACAGGGCAGAGCCGTGTCCTTGTGACAGCAGGGAAAGGCAGTGCGATGTCACATCTGTGGGAAGGCGTTGTCACATCCCTGTGACAGCAGGGTAAGCCAGGGTCACATCCCTGGGAAAGCAGAGCCATATCCCTCTGACAGCAGGGAAAGGCAGTGCAGGGGCACCTCCCTAGGAAGTCAATGTCACACATCCCACGGAGGACAGTGCTACATCCCTTGGAAGGCAGAGCCACGTCTCTGTGACAGCAGGCTAAGGCAGTGCAGTGTCACATCCCTGGGAAAGCAATGCCATGTCCCTGCAAAGGAGCTGTCACATCCCAAGGAAGACAGAGCTGACCACGTTGGGGCCTGGAGACACTTCCAGCTCTGTCCTTGCTCCTCGGGCTTGCCAAGCTCTTCTGGCTCTCCCCATGCCTGGTTTGGACTGTGCACAATGCCCTGCTCCAGCAGCACTAATTTTCTGGGAGAAGCTGTTCCCTGCTGATAATGACTGTTCCCGAACTGCTAATGACTGTTCCTAGATGATAATGGCTGTTCCCAGCCCAGCTGGCCACAGGGCTGTGATTCCTTTGGATGAGGACAAGGGGGGAATAGGGAAATGACAGTGTCTGTCATCACCTTGAGATAAACTTGTAGAACTCAGGACACAGCAGGGTCTCCTGGATCCCAGAGGAGTGTAAATCAACACTGAGACTGGTGATTCCCAGCTGGTCCAGCCTTGTGTCCATCCCTGTCCAAAAAACCCTCTCACAGGAATACTGGTGATTTGGTATTTTGGATCCACATAAGGAATTGCAGAGGTGTCTCATCCAGGGTTTGGGTCTGACTAACAGCCAAGTTTTCTCCTAGTGAAGCTTGAGCACAATCCTTCCCAGGGAAGAGCTTTCTGTGGAATTTTTGGGTGATTTTCTCCCCCCCGAGCCAAAGTCACTGTCGGTTCTCTCAGTGCTGTGCTTCCCTCTGTGCCGAGCAGGATCCAAAGCTCCAGGCCCTTCTGTCTGAGCACAGCTGCCAGAGCCTTTTGGGACAAGCGGGGAGGTGACAAGGAGAAGCAGCAGCTCACCTTGAAGGACGTGGCCGAGCTGCTCCAGAAGAAGGAATGTCGGCGCGTGGTGGTGATGGCCGGCGCTGGGATCAGCACACCCAGCGGCATCCCAGATTTCAGGTGATGCCTCCATCCTCTGTGTCCTTGGAGGGTTCAGGTCTTGTCCATGGAAAGGGTGATTAAACATTGGAAGGGGCTGCCCAGGAGGGTGCTGGAGTCCGAGGAATGACCGGACATGGCACTCAGTGCTCTTGTTGACAAGGTGATGACGCATCACAGGTTGGACAGGTTGATGGTCCTGGAGGTCTTTTCCAACTTCATTGATCCTGGGATTCTGTGTCCAGCCCAGGTCCCACTGCAGCCCCCCTGAGCTGCCCCCTGTCCCCACAGATCCCCTGGGAGTGGTCTGTACAGCAACCTGGAGCAGTATGACATCCCCTACCCCGAGGCCATCTTTGAGCTGGGCTATTTCTTCGTCAACCCCAAGCCCTTCTTCACCCTGGCCAAGGAGCTCTATCCTGGCAACTACCGCCCCAATTCCGCCCACTATTTCCTCCGGCTGCTGCACGACAAGGGGCTGCTCCTGCGCCTCTACACCCAGAACATCGATGGGCTGGAGAGAGGTGAGCTCCCTCTTCCCATCTCCAACAGGAGTTGAGGGGAGAAGCAGGATAGGGGAGATGCACACAGGGAGGCTCTGGCTCAGTCCTTTCCCACACACTGTATTCCAGCGGCTGGGATCCCTCCCGACAGGCTGGTGGAAGCCCATGGCACCTTTGCCACTGCCACCTGCACCGTGTGTCGGAGGAACTTCCCTGGAGAGGACTTCAGGGTGAGTGAGCCCAGCACAATTAACACAAGGAGGCATTAATTATTATCATAATGACAGGTCCAAACCTCTTCTTTTGCCCTCAGGGACAAGAGGTTTATGGAGGGGACTGGGTTTGGGGTTGGGTGTTGCTCTGAGGACATGTGGTGGTTCTGAACCCCTGTGACAGGCAGTTTTGGGATCTCTCCCTTCAGGGAGATGTCATGGGGGACAGGATCCCTCGCTGCCCCGTCTGCACTGGAGTTGTCAAGCCTGACATCGTGTTCTTCGGCGAGGAGCTCCCGCAGCGCTTCCTCCTGCACCTCACAGACTTCCCCATGGCAGACCTGCTCTTCGTCATCGGGACATCCCTGGAGGTCTGGGAATAAGGGATACCCCTGGGACAAAGGCACATGGAAAACGGGGCCTGAAGGGACTCCAGAGGGGAGAGAGAGCTTAGAGAAGGCGAGAAAATGGGTTAGAGAGGTGAAATTTGAGGTGGAGGGTAAGAAATAAAGTGGAGGTGCTCTGAGAGTCCCTCTGGAGACCAGGTGGGCATCTGGAGAGGTGAGGAAAGGCCACCAGGTAACTGGTGACATTGTCACCTGCTCAGAGCCGGGGTGACTGAGCAGTTCCAAGCCGAGCGTGCCAGGAACTGGTGCCCCTGGCAGGGTGACTGTCCCTGTGCCCCCTGGGTTGCCCCCTCAGGTGGAGCCCTTTGCCAGCCTGGCCGGAGCCGTGCGCAGCTCCGTGCCCCGGGTGCTCATCAACCGGGAGCTGGTGGGGCCCTTCGCGTGGTATCAGCGCCACAACGACGTGGCCCAGCTCGGGGACGTGGTCAGCGGCGTCGAGAAGATGGTGGAGCTGCTGGGCTGGAAGGAAGAGATGCAAAAGCTGATCCAGAAGGAGAATGAGAAGGTGGGAAGAGGCTCAGACCCCCCAACTCCCCCCTCAGCCCGTGTTCCCTGTGCTGGAGTTATGCAGGGGAGTGGGTTTGTGCTTGCTGGGGTCACATTGCACAAAAAAGTGAAAAGAACACCAAAACCAACCCAAACCTGAGTGCTGTTTCACAACCAGTGTGCCAGGGCAGAGTGCTGTGGGCTGAATGTGTCTGTGGTAGATGGGAAAATATGGATCTGCCAGTCCCAGATGAATTAGGAACATGGAAAAGGACAGGATTTGGGCTGAAAGCAGTGACACTCTCAGGGACTTAAAAGCTTCACTTGGTGTTACCTGGTGTGTGATTTGTTCTCAGACAAGCCCTGTAGATGTAGCTGGAGGTGCAGATTCCAGGGGGTGGGAGTAAGCAGACAGGAAATCCCCTTGGGCAGCAGTGCCAGGCTGTGAGGCAGCAGAGCCTCCACACAAAACTGGGATGTTCCACAGGCAGCACTTCCTTTGGCTGTGAAGGGCTGGGAACTCTCACTCCCTACAGTCCCTTCATGGCTGTGCTTCCACTTCCAGAGGTTCCTCTGGAGCAATAAGCAGTAGGAGAGAGGGAAGGGAGGCTCCAGTTGTGCTGAGACCCAACCAGTGCTACCATGGCCAGACAGGGAGTGGGGATCCTGCTCCACTTGGCAGTAAATAGATTAAATAGTTCTCCCCACCATTCTCACATCTGTAACCTTCTGGGATCTTCAGGAAATTGCAGGGGAACAAGTTTGTAATTACTCGGAGCTCAGTGCTGATGTTAATTACTACATTCCTTTAGACCACTGGGAAGTTTTTTCCACATTTGACATCAAACACAGCTGTATTTTTTGAGCATACATTACCTAAACGTGACTTCATAAAATCTGGCTTCAAGATTCCAGTTGTAACATCCAGGTTGTTCTTACTTCCCTCAGATTATGCAGCAGGAATGAATAGCAATTCTTGGCCTTTTTGCCAGGTTTTTGATTTTTCAGTACCAACATTTTGGTGACCAGCCAGACCTTGGCTTGATGCTTGTGCTGCTCTGAATCCCTGAGGGATAATGCTGATGCAACAGTGATGGAGGAAAACCAGTTGCTTGGAGCAACCTGGACTAGTGGAAAGTGTCCCTGTCAATGGCCTGGGGTGGGACTGGATGAGCTTAAAGGTCCCTTCTAAGCCAAACCATGCTGGGATTCCAGGATTCTGTGAAACCTGTGGGGCTGGTGCTGGGGCTGGAATGTTTGATGCTCCCTGGCAAACACTGTGGTCTCTGTTTCCAGCTGGATGCCAAGGACAAGTAGGAAGGTGTTCCTGTCACCCCTCAGCACGTCACTTGAGGACATCCAGCCATGGGTGTCACCAGCAAGTGTCCGAGGGCCTGGGGGCTCGTACCAGCACATCTGATGAGCTCCGTGTCTGTCGTTGGCTGTTTGGATCTCCCTCCTTCCAATCCATCCATCCCAGAGCCTCTCAGAGGCACTGGTTCCATGAAGCAGGAGCTGGGATGCCATGAAGGTCAGGCCAGGACAGACTGGAGAATGTTTTGCAGCTCCCACTGGGCTGAGCATCCAGTTCCTGTCACAGCTCCTCCCCAGCCACTGTTCCCTTGGCCATGATCCTCAGCTGCTGCAGGCTGTGTTTAGTCTTCCATGAAATCTCTGCTAATCAGGGGACAAGTCAGGGCAGGGGGGCTGCCTCCCGTTCCCATTCCAGCTCAAGCTGCTGGGGGGGGAATTTCTGAATCACTGGAGTGGTAATTATTTAATAATAAAGAGAGATAATTTGTTTCTGAATGTCACCTGAGGGCGTTTCTGTAAAGTCATACCTTCTGTCCCCACCACTGCTTCTTTCACCTGCTTTTTAGTACCTTTGTTCCCTTTTTTCCCCTCACACAAATGCCCTTTCCTGCTGTAGATGCCATCCTGGGGGGTGGCAGTGTCACAGCACTGCAGCCACATCCTATTGTGTCCCAAACCTGCCACAACACAATGCAGAGCTTTGTGGCATATCCACACTGGAAATGGTGGGGACTTAGTTTATAACCATCCCCCGAAACAGAGTTCCATGATTTTATGGACACATCCCAAAACACCCAGTGTCAAGCTCAGCCCTTGCCCCAGGGCATTCCAGGCCAGGCCTGGCAGCTGTTCTTAGGGATTTAAGCACTCCGGAAAATTGAAACAACATCAGAAGCAACTGCATTAAAAACACCAGACCCCCCCTCTTTTCCTTTTTCACAGAAAGCTTGGAAAGCTGCAACAGCTGGGAAGGGATCAGGAGTCTGTGTCAGCACACAGAAGGACTGGGGGGGACAGGTTTTGCTAGTTAGAACAGAGAGAAAAATGCAATTGGCCTAAAAGCTCAGACTGTGACAGAGCAGAGCTGTCCCCAGCCCAGCAGCCTGGAATGGCACTTGGGGCTCAGTCAGGAACTAAACAGAAACACAGAATCATCCAGGTTGGAAAATACCTCCAAAATCATTGAGTTCAACCTGTGACTGATCCCCACCTTGCCACCAGCCCAGAGCACTGAGTGCCACATCCAGGCCTTCCCTGGACACCTCCAGGGATGGGGACTCCACCACCTCCCTGTGTCACCCTTTCCAATGCCTCACAGCCCTTTCCATGAGGAAATTCTTCCTGATGTTCAACCTGAACCACCACTGGCAGAGCTCTTGACCCGTCCCTGGTTCCCTGGGAGCTGCACCCTTCTGTCAGGGAGTTGTGGAGAGACAGAAGGTCCCCCCTGAGCCTCTTTTTCTCCAGGCTGAGCCCCCTCAGCTCCTTGTGCTCCAGACGCTTCCCCAGCTCCACTCCCTTCCTTGGACATACTTCAGCCCCTCAATATTGTCCTTGCCATGAGGGGCCCAGAGCTGGACACAGCACTGGAGGGGCCTCAGCAGTGGAGACTGGAAAACCAAGCACAGCACCCCTCCAGCTCTTCACCTCCTAGACCATGTTCAGGAACACCCCCAGCTCCTAAGGACACATGAGCAGGAACACCTGGGATCCTCTGCCACAGGAACAGCCATGGGGATTTCCTTGCTCAGAGGAATCACGGCCACAATCCCATGTGTCAGGTTGGCTTTATTCTAGCATCACTTGTGCATTCCTACTCGTGACGGGAGGTTTGGGAACTCGGATACATGAGACAAATGGGAAGATTTTCTTTCCAAAGAAAACAGGAATAAAAATAAAGACAAATCTACACCAGGCCCGACAGCAGCCCCTGGGGGACACAGCGACCTGGGGACAGCAAGGAGGAGCCAAGGACAGAGCACAGGTATCGGCCTTTTGTCTGGAAAGTTGGGAGAGGCGAATGCCCAAACCCAGCAGGGTGGTGACAGGGACAGTGCCCAGTGCCAGGGAAGGGACATCGGAGCGCTCTCTCCTACAGCCAATGGAATGCTGGAAGCATCCAAGCTCTGCTCTGCTCACCCACACATTCTGGGTGTGCACAGACATGGATACAGCCACCTGCACCATGCCCTGCAGATCCCACTCCCACTGGAGGCCCACACCCCTCTCTGGCAGCCCCCCTTCCCACGGCATTCCTGGGGAGCAGCCCCCACTGTGGGGCTGGGCACACACACAGCCACGTGCACACAGGAGGCTCCGTGCATCACTGAACCCTGATGAAGTGGCAGGTAGAGCCTCCCCCTGACCCTTCTTCCCAAACAGCACGTATTTTAAAAACCAAAAATCCTACTGGAGAGTCCTGGAAGCAATGTGGAGTGTGAAATCCTCAAGGCTGCTGATAGGAGAGGCCAAGGTGGAGCCAGGTCACGGAGACCTCTGGAAGGAGAGGTGGCTATGGAGCTGGGAAGGAGGCAGGTGTTCCATGTGGTGGGCTGTGAGGCTGGATCCAGATCCCACAGGGAGAGTCCTGGCGCAGTGCCAGCCCCTGGGTGCAGCACCAGTTCCGAGGGAGAGCAGCTGGAGCCTGGCTCTCTGTGGCTGGGGCGGGAGCTGGCTCAGTCCAGCCCCAGGTCCGAGTCGGAGGACGAGCGCTCGTCGGCGATGTTGCGGATGGCGTTCTCCATGGGTGCCAGGTTGCCACTCGGAGTGATGCCCATGGGCTGGATCACCTTCTCCCTGCAGCCAAGAGGAGAGGGAGAAGGTGAGACAGAGCTGCAGCAGAGCATGGGAACAGACCAGGAATACAGCAGGAATGTGGGGCTTGTGGAAATGGCCTAGAACACCCCTAGCACCACTAAAGATTCCTTCTGAGAAGTGGGGACAGTCCCAGCTCTAAAACTTCAGGCATAGCCTGGAATGCACAGTCCTATTCCCTAGAATAGGCTCCTTTCTAGAGTCCTGTTCTGTGTGGTTCAGGATTCCCAGAGGAAAACTAACACTGGTGTTCACGTTCCTCTCCCTCCACACGTGGAATTACTTCCTCCTACTCTTGAAAGCCTGAACTCACTTGGGCTCCTCTGGGTCAGAGATAACTGGAGAAAGCACTCCAACAGGGAAAGTGGCTGGTGTCACTACCTGCCACTTGTGCCCTCTGTCTGTCCCCAAAATGCTGCTTCCCCCGAGCAGCTTTGCCAGGACAGAGGCTGCTGTCCTTCCCAAGCACCTGGACAAACCTGGTGAGCAGCAAGTGCTTGGGAAGAGCACAGGTACAGCAAGGAATTCCACAGTGTCCCATCATGCCACAGCTGGAGGAGCTGGCAGCGCTTCCCTTGCACATCATGGGGCCATACTGAGGGAAGAGTTTCCCCACATATCCCATGCCATTCCTGCCCCTAGATCCCTTCAGGCCTTGGGAACACAGCCAAAAGAAGATGTGTGACAGATGTATCCCCCAACACCCACCATGTCCCAGTACCTGGACAACTTGTCAAACATGTTGACCAATTTCATGGCTTCATGCTCCTTCTGCTCCTCTGTCATCCCTTCCATGGGGTTGGGCAGCTTCTCCTCCACACGTCCCGTCACAGGGTTGATGCTGCAAAGAGAGCAGCGAGGCCAGGGCTCAGGAGGGGGACAGCAGGTGACAAGGGGCTGTTAGCAATGCTTCTGAGCCTCGTGGAGCAGAGGAATGGCATAGCAGGACTGGCTGTCACTGTGCCTCCAAGTGCCATGACAGTTCTACAAGGTCTTCTGACCTACATCCTTACAAACACCTCCCTTTCCTCTAACTTCCCCTCCTGCCAATGCCACAGTGCCACTGGAAATGAGGTACATGAGGGCAGGTGACATTTCCTCCCTCTCCTCAAGGCAGAAGACAAAAGCTAATGGAGAAAATCCCACCAAACCCAACCTGCAGGGACACTGAAGAGGTGGGGGGGGGACTCATGGGTAGGGACAGGCCTGGACCCCTCACCCTCAAGATACCACCCACTGCAGAGGAAAGGAGAAAGAAGGGAAAAAAAAAAAGAGAGGGAAGGGAAAAAGAAAGAGAGGGAAGGGAGAAAGAGGAACCAAAACCAAGCAACACTGAGCTCTGGAGAGGGATAGGAAAAACGGGCACGTCCACCTCTGCTGCACGTGGAAGAGCAGAACAGGGAGATGGCAGGAGGTGCATGAAGAGAGATGAAGAGGGATAAAGCAGGAGAGGAAGTTGTGGAAGAAGGGTAGCTCTAGAGGGGGAGAGGATCTCTTTACTTGGGCTTTGCCTCTTTGTACTCCTCCGTGTCCGTGTCTTCATCCTCCGAGTACTCCCCCTCTTCCCGGCCGCCGGCCATGAGGCCCCGTGCCGCCAGCAGCCCCGCGGCGTTCCCGTAGCCCGTGTACTTCACAAACCGGGACACTGCCAGGAGAAGGGACAGAGACCACCCTGTGCTCCCCTCCTGCCTCCAGCCCCGTGTTCCCACAGCCCCAGCAGCCCTGTCGTGTCACATCTCCAGGCCATGGAGACACGGAGATGCTGACACGGAGCAAAGCCCATGCGTGGGAGCTGAACATGGGCCAGGCTGTGTGCAGGGTGCTGGGGTGTCCTCCAGCACAGCTCCTCCCTCACCGCTGGCCTGAGAGGCATCACCTCATTCCCACAGAGCTCCTAGAGCTCTCCCCTCTTCCCTGCTCAGTGGGGCTGAGGGTCCTGTCTTAGGCTGCAATACAGGATGTGACTAAAAGTATGAATTCTATCATCATCTGTTGAAATCAGCTGGGGCAGTGATCCTCATCTCTGTGGGAGATATTCTCTGCTAATGGGCCATCTGTTAAAACCAGGTGGGGCAGTCATCCTTATCTTTTCCACAACCCATCCTTCCTCCAGGAACACATCCTCTGTTAATGGGCCATTGAATCCCACTGCATGACTGATAAAGCCAGGGGGAGGAGCCAAGCCTTTCCTACCTAGATAAAAACTGAGATTTGGAATGTCAGAGCAGCCTTTTTCCACTGCATCCCAGAGGAAAGCCAGCCCTTTCCAAATCATCATTGGCCCTTCGGAGGAAAACTGTATCTTCTACAGGAGCACTGCTTGAACAGAACCACATCTGTCACTGGAGGAGGATGCAGGCAGCTTGGGACTGCTACCAACACCCTGACTGATGGGGTGTCAGGTTGTATTCTGACTCTGTCAGTGTTTTGGGTTTGTTCTTTGTAATACTGTATCTCTATTTTAATTTTCCTAGTAAAGAACTGTTATACCTATTCCCATATCGTTGCCTGAGAGCCCCTTAATTTCAAAATTATAATAATTTGGAGGGAGGGGTTTACATTCTCCATTTCAAAGAGAGGCTCCTGCCTTTCTTAGCAGGCACCTGTCTTTCAAACCAAGACAGTCCCAATGCCAGCGTCTCCCGGGACTCACCGCTCTCCTTGCAGAGCACGAAGAGGAACTCGG